TTTGGTGGTGCAAAAGAAGCTCTCCCAGCTGGGTTTAAACCAGCGAGCTTGAGGTTAACAGCCGCACGCTCTACCAACTGAGCTATAGGAGAAGCACGACAAGCTAACCACCGCACCGCATTGCCCAAAACTGCATTCTCAACGAGTACACACGCAACCACACAAAACCGCACCGCCGTACGCCCTCTTACCAGCTAGCGCCTCGCACACACCTCGTCTAGCACCCACCCAGCCTTTGAACATGTCCAACACAATTCAAACTGACAAGAAAGTTGGACGCGCGCCAACGATAAATGCACGCTGCCAAACGATCTACCGCGAATCTATTATGCATGCCGCATCAGCACAGGTCACTAGCACGCTCTCGAAAGCACAAAAGGGGTCCGCCAAAGCGACCCCGTCCAGGTCGCTGCTTCGAGCCTGGCAGTGGCCTTGACACTGGGCAGTGGATCTAGCGCGACCACAGTGGATGGGCTCACTGTTCCGGCGGAGCTAACAGTAGTCAAATAGCAATCGGAAAGTATAGCCATCCGGCCAGTGAAAGAGGGTCAAGAGGCTCAGCACAAAGCAGCACACTACCGTCAGGCGGTAGCAGCAGGCAGTAAGTGAGCTGACGAAATAGAACACTGTAGGCAGTAAAACATGGTGGCGGTGGGTGGCGAATAGCTGCGAGGTGGTGTGACAGCGATGCAGTGGTCGGAAGAGCACGTGGGAAGCGTAGACAAGCAAAAGAAGCAAGTCGGCGACAGTAGTTTGGTGGTGCAAAAGAAGCTCTCCCAGCTGGGTTTGAACCAGCGACCTTGGAGGTTAACAGCCGCACGCTCTACCAACTGAGCTATAGGAGAAGCACGACAAGCTAACCACCGCACCGCATTACGAAAGCTGCATTCTCAACGAGTTGACACGCAACCACACAAATCCGCACCGCCGTACGCCCTCTTACCAGCTAGCGCCTCGCACACACCTCGTCTAGCACCCACCCAGCCTTTGAACATGTCCAACCACACTTCAAAACTGAACAGAAAGTTGGAACGCGCGCCAGCGATAAATGAACGCTGCCAAAGGATCTACCGCGAATCTATCATGCATGCCGCATCAGCACAGGTCACTAGCACGCTCTCAAAAGTACAAAAGGGGTCCACCAAAGCGACCCCGTCCAGGTCGCTGCTTCGAGTCTGGCAGTGGCCTTGACCCCGGGCAGTGGATCTAGCGCGACGACAGTGGATGGGCTCCCCTGTTCCGGCGGAGCTAACAGTAGTCAAATAGCAATCGGAAAGCATAGCCATCCAGCAAGTCAAAGAGAGTCAAGAGGTTCAGCACAAAACAGCACACTACCGTCAGACGGTAGCAGCAGGCAGTAAGTGAGCTGACGAAATAAAACACTGTAGGCAGCAAAACATGGTGGCGGTGGGTGGCGAATAGCTGCGAGGTGGTGTGACAGCGATGCAGTGGTCGGAAGAGCACGTGAGAAGCGTAGACAAGCAAAAGAAGCAAGTCGGCGACAGTAGTTTGGTGGTGCAAAAGAAGCTCTCCCAGCTGGGTTTGAACCAGCGACCTTGAGGTTAACAGCCGCACGCTCTACCAACTGAGCTATAGGAGAAGCACGACAAGCTAACCACCGCACCGCATCGCGAAAACTGCATTCTCAACGAGTACACACGCAACCACACAAATCCGCACCGCCGTACGCCCTCTTACCGGCTAGCGCCTCGCACACACTTCGGCTAGCACCCACCCAGCCTTTGAACATGTCCGACACAATTCAAACTGACAAGAAAGTTGGACGCGCGCCAGCGATAAATGCACGCTGTCAGA